GGGCCAGAAAATCCTTGTTTGTGGCCTGAAAGGGTCATGTTGTGGGGCTGCCAGGCCTCAGTATGTTGACTGCTGGGATCCGTGAACCACAAATCACTGCTTGTAAATAGCCCCAAGGATCAAATTTGAAAGGGATTCTCAGCACCAGGGCAAATCCCCAAAAGGACAGTGTCTTCCCTCCAGCAGCACACCTTCCCCATCCCTTCTGCTACGATGCAGGCTGTTCTCTCAGTGAGAACCTCCTCCCGCCCAGCTCATGAACTCCTCCTAGGGGGAGAGCCAGCCCCTGGGGGTGATCTCCGTCTGCCAGGAAAAGGACCCATTGATGGACGCTTACATGAGTAGTCCAGTGAAGCCAGTCATGGCCAACAGGAGCTCACTGGCCTTTCTGGGAGGCCATTGCACAACATCCCCACCTGAGCATTGCCCGGAGCATAGCCAGGGAACTGGGGGCAGCGGACTCTGGGGCTGGTGGGCTGCAGGAGAGAGAAGTTTTCAGAACCACCCCCAACTCTCTGCCTAAAATCTGCCTGTGGTGGATTGCACTTACCCTTGTGAGCGTCCCCCAGTGTCTGGGTGTGGTGTTGCCTACCTCTGTGGGTCTTTTGTGGCTTGGCCGGGTCACACAGCTCACACCCCTTCTAGGGTACAGCCAACTTGGATAGCAGCAGCCCCTTGCCCTTCAGGGCCAATCATAAATCAAATGGTTTCTTACCCTTCTGGGGCTTAATTCCCTCCCCAGAATTAAATCAGCAGGGTTCTTCCTGAGCTTCACCCACCGATTTGTGGCCAGCAATGCGCCCTGGCCCAGTGTGGTTCCTTGGTCCGTAGCCTAGAGAGCATCTCTCCTCACACCACCATCTCCAGCCAGGAACTACCTTGCTAGCAGCAGGCGGCTCCTTTTCTTTTGGCCTTGTTTGGGTGTTGCTGGAGAAGAAGCTCTCCATGGTTCCCACAATGCCTGCTCCTGCGATGCTTCCCTAGGTAAGCCTAGAGATCTAGTGCTCACTGCTCTTTTCCTCTCAGAAAGCTGTTTCCAAGGGTGGTGGGTAGCAGAGCAGTGGGGCCTCCAGCGGGGAGTGGGGAGCACGGAGGCTTGCCACATCCCATCACATTGGCCTCCCCTGCTTGCCCAGGTAAGCGTGTGTCTCTAGAGTAGGGGTGCCGTTCTGTTGGTGTCTCATGGCAATGCCCTGTTGTCCCCTGCCAGGAGGTGCAGATCTGGATGCCTTACACCTCCCCTCAGACTCTGCGTGAGCGAGAAGTGGTAGTTCGGACCTTCAATGGGCAGAGCTGGAGCGACCTGCAAACCAAGGTGGAGCGGAGAGGAAAGCCGAAGGTGAGCAGGTTGGATTAACTCCTGGTCATAGGCAGGAGATCTGACTTGCCCTGCAGCAGGGGGCAGGACTTGACTTTGTCCAGTCCCCAGCTTGGAAGCTTCTCATGAACCTGAGATGTGTCCAGTTGGTATAAAGTGATTGCACCTGCAGCCCTCATCTCTAATACAGAGGTGTGGTTACTAGAGCAGGGGTTCTCACAACAAACTTTTTGATGGCCTCAGAGTGCAGCCACCAACTCTCACTGGTGGCCACACTGACACTTTTTTTTACCTAAAATACTTCATTTACTTTAGGAAAAACAATTAAATATGCACAGATTCACAGCCAAATCATTGTAATGCGTATTTGTAGGGTTTTTTGGCAGACTCAATAACCAAAATAATGCTGCCTCCCCTTTCGGCCCTCCTGCCCCATCCAGGGCTTAGTGGGTCCTGGGGCTTGCTGTGAAAAGTGATATTTGTTAATATCACAGCACACTTAGTAGCTACCTGGAAGGCTATGAAAAGTGATCAGTGATATTAACAAACATACAAGTATCACTTTTCACAGCAAGCCCCAGGACCTATTAAGCCCCGGATGGAAATGCCGAAGGGGGAGGCAGCGGGGATCCAGGGCAACGGGGCGGGGCATGGCTGGAGCCGGGACTCAGCGCCTGCCACCGCACAGCTGGAACTGGGGGCTGGAGGCTGAAGCCCCGCACCTGGAGGCCAGGGCTGCATGGCCAGAGCCGGGGCAGGGTCAGTACCCGTGGTCAGAGGCCAGGGCCTCATGGCCAGGTTCCTGAAGTCCCACCACTGGAGCCTGCTACTCAAATCCCCTCCACCCAAGATGGGTCAAGAACTCACCACTCAAGAGGCTGTCGTGGCCGCATGAAAAGCCCCTAGTGGCTGCATTTGAGAAATGTTGTCCTAGAGACTACAAGCTCCGGAATGCAATTTTCCATCTCAATTTGGCATTGGACTGAAAGATTTGCTAGGGTGGGACCTCATCTTACTCCATGTTTTGTGAAGTGCTGCGGGGTACTGTGCTAAATTGAATCTGTGCTCTCCCTACCAGCAATCAATCCCGGGAGCACAACATGTGCTGCAGGCTCTCGTGTCCAAAATGTCTAGGCTGCTTCTGCAGTGTGTACAGTGTGACTTATACCAGGAGTGGGGTATGAAAAGTCACCTCAAATGCCAGCTCTGATGGTGAAAATATCTTCTCAGGTGTTTAAGAAAATAGGCTTTATTGGTGGTGCTTCTTTGCATCTAAATGTGTGCAATACATCTGCATATATAGCGATGAAACATTATGAGCCGTTGATTTTTTTTTTTTTTCTAGTGACTCCATTGACTTCAACTGGTGTCAATCAATGTGTCTGAAAGATACTGTAACGTGTCACTCAGCTGTGTTTTCTTTGTTCCCCACCTTTTTGTAACAGAAGCACATGGCTTGCTGTAGCATCCCCCACTTCTCCTGGTTCCTGGTCATCTCTCGGCTCGTGGAGAATAAATGTAGTGTCCCATCAGAGGGGACGTTGCTCTTTTCCACAGTGGATCCAAGCATCAAAGTGACCTTCCCTCCTGGAGTCACAGAGGAGACTCGGAGCGTCACATTGCAGGTGTGTGTACATGTTAAAACTAAAACACAAGC